GCTAGCAACTCTGGCCTTAAGCGAGCCTTCCAGAACAAAGTGAATGGGACGGCTCAGTGGTGAAGGACAGAAGTGGCAATTGTCATGGATGGTAATTCAGAAACGTGGGTGTTACGGACACAGAGTTCTTCTTGGAGCATAGACGTAGGTTGATCTCAACAAACTCAATTCTTGGCTGACTTCCAGTCAAAGGGTTGGCTACCAAACTGTGCATTCATCAGTCTATCTGAGAAACTTGTAATGAAAAAGTGCACACTTGCTAGTTCCAAAAAGGGAAACCCGTAAATGAAATCGACATTGGCTCTCATTTTACAACAAACTGTATTCTTGTCAGCTCACACTGTAACGGAGAGACACATTCTCAGGACATTCATTGGATGAATGTGCAAAATTGGTATCTATGAACACTCTAGCAGAATTCTAGGTGTTTTACTTTTTAAAAACGTTTGATAAGTGACAGCTATACCTTAACTACAGAGCTCTGGTAGCATAGTGGTTACGAAACAGGCTGCAAACCTTAGGGTCAGCAGTTTGAAACTACCAGCCGCTCTGCGGGAGAAAGATGAGGCTTTTTGCTCCTGTAAAGATTTACAGCCTCAGAAACCCTATACAGGGTCGCTATGGGTCAGAACCGACTTGACGGCACTTAACAACAACAACATACCTTAACTATTCTGTTGCAAATCACTTACAAAAAGACTCATGAACATACATTTTCACGAACATACGCCTTAAGTTTGAACTGATGCACTTGAACTATGGTGTTATTATGGTATACTCAGAGTACCGAGGATACCAGGGACTGCCAGAGAACAAACAAATCTGTCTTGGAAGGAGTACAGTCAGAATGCTTCTCATAACCAGTCCCTGGAGAAAGACCTGGTAAAGTGGAGGGTTAGTGAAAAAGAAGACGACCCCACTGAGGCAGACTGACTTGGTGGCTATAATCACACACAGCAATGGTTGTGAGGATGGTACGGGACCGGCTGGGCTTGGTTCTGTTGGACATGGGTAACCTGTAACGGCACAGCTTTCCCTCCTCTACCCACATACCAAGTACACAAAACGTCTTGGGGTTCCCACATACAACATGGACACTATGGGTTAATGCACTAGACTGCAAAGTCATCTGAACTTCAAGGTTGGCAGTTCAAGTTCACCAGCCGCTCTTTGGAAGCCCTATATAGGGTCGCTATGAGTTGGAAACGACTCGATGACACTTAACATTTATACCACAAGGTTGACAGTTCACATTCACCAGCTGCTCCTTGCAAACCTTATCTAGGGTTGTAATGAGTCAGAACTGACTCAACGGCACTTAACACCCCACTACCATTTCTACTGGGAAGCCTTGTCACCCCTGGACTGTGGGTTAAACTCTTACTATTTTTTAAAAACCATGTGGAATGCCACCTCCTGAAAGCCTTCCTTGAGCTCCCTGCATGCCCCTTCTTTTGAGGGTCCTTGTACTTCATAAGCTCCATATCATGGTTCTCGTCATAGACGGTCATTACCTGCACCTTTGTCCCCAGGGCCATATTAAGGGGGCGGGGAAGGCTTGTAGAGGGGACAGGAAGGGCTGCACTGACCCCTGCTGAACTCGCTGGAAAGCTGAGTTCTGAGCCTGGGTCAGACTTCCAGGAGGGGACAAACGCGCTATGGCAGCTGGCCCAGCCACCCATTCACAAGCCAACTGTCTCATTCGGCACAGGAATGTCACATCAGCTCAGCAAAATGACACATGACAGATGACTTTCTGTCACAGATCTCTGGGTCGCTCGTAAAATTAACACTGGAAATTCTCTGAAAGCCAAGCAAAGGTTAGCAGACAGCAAACAACGTAAATACTGCGATATGATAGGTATAAAGACAAAGTCTTCTGTACTGCAAGAGCCCAAGACCCCATTTTGCAGACTGACATGGCATTTATCAACTCACTTCTGTGTGGACCCGTAAGTGATAATATCTACCTCTTGTGTGCTTTTGAAGCTCACAATAATGTCAGGGGACGGAGGTCAGGTCATGTGGCTAAGCAGACCATCCTTTGTCTTATGATCTAAGTCACCCCTCTGACAGCAGCCCAGAAACCACTGAGGTCCCCAGAGCGGACCCTACTCCATCCTTCCCAAGTCTTGGCTGTGAACTCTTCTAGAACAGCCCCTCCAGCGTCTTTTCAATATACTCCTTTGTTCTGTGGGCTTATGTGTGCTCAAGTTAGCTTCCGCTAAATGCCCCACGAGAACCCTACTCATTCCAGCCCTCTGGCTTCTCCTCATGACGGGCAGTAACCATCCTTGTACCTCTTGGCACTCAGCTCCCACCTGGGATGTGCAGAATGCCTATTTGACTTTTAAGACCTTCTTGCCTAACTTGACTTTCCCAGCTCCTTGGCAGGTTAGCAGTCCAGTGCTTACCCTATAGCACCACACTGAGACTCCAGAGTATGCTGCTGTTGTTGGTAAGTGCCGTTGAGTCAGTTCTGACTCACAGTGACCCTGTATAGGGTTTCCAAAGACTGGCTGGTGGGTATGAACTGTTGTCCTTGGGGTCAGAAGTCCTGTGCTTATCCTGCAGCACCATACCAAGACTCCTAGAGTGCTCTGTATAGTGGGGCTTTTATTGCAAAAGTATAAGAATAAGATACAAGTCCAGTATAAAGTCAATTTGGGGATTCTAAGTGATCACGCCCATTTTTCTTCCCGTTGGTTTTTTCTGACATAGTCTGAGGAATGGTATCTAAGGTGAAAAATGGTAATTTAGAAAGTGCTACAGAACTGGAAGGGGTCCTGGTATGGTACTGTAGGATAAGCAATGAACTGCTAACTGCAAGGGTGGCAGTTCAAACCCACCAGCCACTCATGTGAAACCCTATACAGGGTCTCTATGAGTCGGAACAGACTTGACAGCACTTACCAACAGAGAACTGGGAAGGGTAATTTCTTTCTATTATCAATTTTAGATCAGAATAGTTAGAAATGACTTGAATTGTACAAATGCCAGCAAAGACTAAACAAGAGTGATGTGAAAGTTGTTCAATCTCTTCAGTTATTGGTGGTGGTGGTGTGCCATGGAGTAGGTTCCGACTCATAGCGACCCTGCATAGGGTATCTCAGGCTGTAAATCTTTAACGGGAGCAGAAAGCCTCATCTTTCTCCTGCAGAACTGCTGGTAATTTTGAATTGCCGACCTTGATCACTTCACTTATTACTGACAGATTAACTGTAGACCTGAGGCTGGTGTATCAGTATCCTTGAGTGAATCTCTGTTGCTTAGAAGCTGTGAAGAAGCTGAAGCTCTGAGGAGTGACCAGCTAGCAGACGGAGGCTTCACACTGGATCCTGTACCTTAGCTGTGGGGTCTTAGAGAGGCCTGTTGGGCAGATTCAGCGTAAACCCCTCTGAGCTCAAGAAAGATGTGGCTATAGACAGACGGGTGAGGGGAGAAGAGAAAGGGAGGAAAGAACTGGGGGACTTCTGGAGGCACTGGGATGGGGGCTACCTGTATGCACTCCACATTCTAACACAACAGCTGCCGCCAGCCAGTCAGTTCCAACTCATGGCGACCCCTATGCATCAGAGATGCCCGGGCATGGAAGGCACAGGGATTTCAGTGTCTGGACTTCTGGAAGTAGATTACCAGGCCTTTTAAAGAGGCACCTCTGGGTGGAATCGAACCTCCAACCTTCTGGTAAGCAGTCATGTGTGGTAAGCATTTATACCACTCAGGAACTCCCCATGTTACACAAATCCACATTGAATGCTGTTACATAAGCACTGGACTGCTAACCACAAGGTTGGTGGTTCAAAGCCACCAGCCGCTCCTTGGAAATCCTAAATAGGGTCGCTGTGAGTCAGAACTGTCTGGACACACAGCACTGCTGCTAGCTGCCGCTGAATCTAAGTACAAACACACGCAGCATGGCCGTCGCTACATCTTCTGGCCCAGTCTAGGTGGTTTACAACATGCATGCACGTGTAACCATCAAATTGAGGCAAGTGGTGATAGAGGAAGGCAGAGGAAAGCATTAGCTACTTTACTGCAAGGGCAGCTCTGGCTGCCATTCTGTCTGGGGGCATTGTTCCACAGTGAGAGTGAAGAGGTGGGAAGGGAGGTGTTGGGTCTGTGTGCCTCTCAGTGGGGAATGTCTCCCTGGGTTCCTAGAGTTTGTGGAATCATTGTTTGCACACTCTGGTCCCTACGCGCTAGCCCACCACTTCATCTGGGTCCAAAGCTGTGAGAGGAGCAGTCTGGGCCGGCGCTGTCGAGAGACTGTTTCCAACATGCTGCCTTTCAGGGTCTTCACTGGTACGTGAGCCTTGGACTTCCCTGAACTTTCTCTCTAGCAGAAGCTGTGAGCTTTCCTGCCTCTGGCTTGTGTTCATGCCATTTCCTTCCAGGTGAGATTGCCCCTCCTGATCCTCTCCATGTACCCGGGGAACCTACGCATCCTACAAAACCCTCCTTCGCAGCCTTCCTGTACTTCCAGTCACCCTAAGCTATATCATCTCATTCTTATCACTTACATCCTGTCATAAACCTTGACATCATGCTTTATGGTATTTATTTGATTTGATATTTACGATGTTAAATATTGCTGTCAGCTTTGTCCTGCGCACTAGCTTCATTGTCTACTCTGGGACACACCTGGACATACTCATGCCCACATGATGCCCACGTCTTCAATTCACACACATAGCGACCCCACTGTGTATCACAGGAGAAAGAAAACACTAGCGCTTTCAAAGACGTGACTTTTCAGAAGCAGATGACTAGGCCTATCTTTCGAGGCACTGCTGGGCGGACTGGGACCGCCAGAGGGAGCGTGGCATAAATTCATCAGCAGGGGCCAGTGTTTAAGAACACAGGTGGGCTCCGGTTAGAATCCCAGCTCTGCTGCCTCCTGACCTCCCGGCAAGTCATGGAGACCAAAGTCAAGAGCAGAAAACCCCAATTGGCTTTACAAGTGAGCAGTCAAGCAGCTTCAGACAGCAGGAACTTACAAATGTTGAGGGGAGAAACAGGACTCCGAGTTCGTAGGAGCGGATCATCAGCTGGGTGCCGTTTTTCTCTAGCGCTCCCCAGGCGGCCTTGGACAGATTTGCGCTGTAGAGACAAGGACAGGGAAGGGCATGAACGTGAGCCATTCTGTGCAAGTGGGGCTGGCAAAGCGGCAGGGGCCTGGGCAAGGTGGACACTGCCTCATAGGCCTGCAATCGCCCGGCTTTTCCCGCATCTAGCAGTGCTGTTTAATCTCCACATAGGACATTGAAAATCCTCCTACGCTGGGATCCGCATGACTTACCAACCTAATTGCTCATCGAGACAGCACACTTCAGTTTCCTCTGAGGGCAGCTATTAAAAGAACGATCCTTCCTTGCATTCTTTTTTTAAATGCTCCAAACTATTCCCCCACCCCGTGACTATAGCCTAGTCCAGTTTTCCAGCACTTAAGAAAAAAAAAAGATAAAATGTAAATATAATCTTAATACAGTATCTTCTTAATTGCTTTATTTTCTTCTAGTTTTTTTTTTTTTTTCCTGCAGACCAGGTAGCAAGCATGACAATGGGGCTTCAAAAAGTATGAGGAGAAATGGAATGAGAAGATAATGGAATTTTCCCATCAACTTTTTGAGGCTCCTACAAAGGGTCAAGACAGAGTGTGGACAAGACTGAACACTACAGTGTAGCTCCAGGAAGAGACCCAAACTGATCAGATGCTCAGAGTGAGACCCCAGAGGTCTTGGTCTTTAGCGACTCTCCCTTCTGCAGAAATTCAGGTGGAGAACGCTCACCCATAGATGAACTGATGGAAAGTAGCTGTAAGCATTTCCTGTCAACTGCTGGTGGTGGTTATGTGTCATGGAGTCAGCTTCGATGCACAGTGACCCTGCACAGGGTTTCTGAGGCTGTAAATCTTTATGGGAGCAGAAAGCCTCATCTCTCTCCCATGGAACTGCTGACTTTGAGGTTAGCAGTCCAACTCGTAACCACTACGTTACCAGTGCTCCTTTCAACTAGAAGCTTCCAAATTCTAGTTCAATTTAATCCTGCAAAGCAAAACCCAGGCTAGTCTGAAGCCTTAAAACCTAACTCTGTAGGTATCTGAGTTTTGAAGATTCCTTCACTCGTGTTTTCTGAGCCAAGCGCTGGAACTGAAGTTGTCTGCTAGAATCACAAGGAACATGAAAAGAATGGTTCTTGTTTGTAAGGGAACAGAGAGGAAGGATTGTGGAAGTCAGGGCAAAGGACAAGCCTTTAAATGATTAAGCCTGCTTAAAATTAACAAGTAAGACAGTGTATTGCAGACCTTCTTGTTTGTCAAATAGACCGTCCAGAGGAGCGTGGACTTTCTCTGTCAGACAAGAGTTATGGTTGTGAACATCACATTACAAACTCACCACAGTATTGGATTGTGTTCTTCCCGAGCCCTCAGCTAAGCTGGCCAATGCACAGTTAGTCATCAGGCAGTTTTGCAGGTCCCTTACCACATGTTCAATTGGTGGTAGATTACAGTGTTCAGCTGATGAGAGGTCAGAGCTTCATCCACAATGTGTGAACATTTTGTCCCCAAGTTTAAGTCCTTAAGAGTGAATTTAACCTTCAAAGGAGAAGAGCTGAGAGTGGGACCCAACCAGAGAAACAGAGGTGCCTGAGATGGAGACAGAGACGACGACATGAAGCAATGAAGCGGCTGGGGACTTTGGACCCAGAGAGGGAAAGGGACTGTGGACCAAAAACTGGGGGTGGTGGGGGAAGGGGAAGTGTAGGGGGCGGGTTTCTAGGATATACCCTTTGGCTGGTTGATGATGCATGGAGGGGATTGGAACCATGGCAATGAGATGATATACGATGGAATGAATGTAAAACTAAAGCTCACTCATGTAAACTACCATATAATTCACAATAAAACATTAAAAAAAAAAAGAGTGAATTTAAAATAATAACATACAAGAAGAAATGCTTGAAGGAAACCTGGAGAGTACACCGGAGTGGATCTTGATTATATGTAGAAGAAAGAAAGATCGGTAGTGAGAAGAAAGCCCTGGGCTTAATCCAGTTTGTGTCCTGCTTCCCTACTCATTGTCTTAGTCTGGAAGCTCTGTTGAAACCTACCCACCAGCGATGAGGCTGCTGGTACTTGCAATGCCAGAGGCATAGTTTTCATTATCACTGTAACACACAATCCATGACAGCATGACTAAATGACAGGCAATTGGTGGCTTCCAGTCTAAGACAGACTAGGAGGAAGGACCTGGTGGTCTACCTCTGAAGATGTGCCAGTAAAAACCTTCTGAGCAGCAGGAAAATCTTGTCACATACAGTGCCAGAAGATGAGCCCCTTAGATGGGAAGGCACTCAAAAAATTATACGGGGAAGAGCAGCTTCCTAAAGCTAGAATAACATGGATGGAATAAAGCTTAGAGGAACTTCATCTGCTGATGGGGCATCACTCAAAATGAGAAGAAACAGCTGCCAGCACCTTAGGAATCTAGGAAAAATGGAAGTTGTCAAAAATATAACGAAACATATAAAGATCAATACTCCAGGCATCAATGAGCTGAAGCGGACTGGTTTTGGTCACTGTGAATCAGACCACTGTATGGTCTACTACGCTGGGAATGACAAATTGAAGAGAAATAGCATTGCAGTCATCATCAAAAAGAACATTTCAAGATGAACCCTGAAGTACATCTGTGATAAGATGTTGTCCGTGATAAGATGATATCAATATACCTACAAAGAAGATGAGTTAATACAACTACTATTCAAATGTACACATCAAACACTAATGTCAAATATGAAGAAATTGAAGATTTTTACAAACTTCGGTAGTTTGAAACTGATGAATGATTTACTCAGGATGCATTGATAATTACTGGCGACTGGAACATGAAAATTGGAAACAAAGAAGGTCAGTAGTTGGAAAAGATGTCCTGGGTGACAGAAACGATACTGGGGATTGAATGACAGATTTTTCCAAGACCAACTACTTACTTGCTCATTACAAATACATTCTTTTTAACAACATAAATGGCAACTACACCAGATGGAATATACAGGACCTCACCAGATGGAATATACAGGAGTCAAATTAACTACATCTGTGGAAAGAGATGATGTAAAAGCTCAGTATTATCAGTCAGAACAAGGCCAGGGCCAGCCAGGAGAATAGACTATCAATTGCTCAGATGTAGGTTCATGTTGAAGTTGAAAAAAAATAAAAATAAAAAATAAAACAAGTCCATGAAATATACTCAGTAACCTTGAGTATATCCCACTGGAATTTATAAACGACCTCAAGAACAGATCTGACGCGTTGACCACTAATGACCAAAGACCAGATGACTTGTGGGATGATATCAACAACATCAGACATAAAGAAAGCAAAAGGTCATTAAAAAGACAAGAAGGAAAAGACCAGAAAGGATGTCAGTTGCTCCTGAATGTAAGATAGCTACAGTGAAAAGAAGAAATGATGATGCAAAGGAGTGGAACAAAAGATTTCAAAGGATTGCTTGATAAGTCGGAGTAAAGTATTAAAACGAAATGTGCGAAGACCTAGAGTTAGAAAAACAAAAGGGAAGAAACTGCTTGACATTTTTCAAATGGAAAGAACAGAAGAAAAAAACTCAAGCCCCGAGTTGCAATAATGAAGGATTTGATGGGCAAAGCCTTGAAAGACTCGGAAAGCATCAAAAGAATATAGAAGGAATACGAAGTCACTGTATCAAAAAGAGTTGGTTAATGTTCAACCATTTCAGGATAGCCTATGATCAAGAACTGGCAGTACTGAAGGAAAAAGACCAAGCTATACTGAATGTATTGGCAAAATACAAGCCTCCAGGAACCGACACAATACCAACTGAGATGTTTCAACAAATGGATATAATGCTAGAAGCAATCACCTGTCTACACCAAGAGATTTGGTAAATGGATACCAAACCAATGGATGGGAAGAGATCCATGTACATGCATATTCCAAAGAAAGGTGATCTGGTGGAATATGGAAAGTACGAAACACCACCATTAATAGTACACGCAAGTAAGAGTTTGCAGAATATCATTCAAGAAGGCTGCACTGGTACATTGACTAGGAGCTACCAGAAATGCAAGAGAAATTCAGAAGAGGACATAGAAACAGGGATTTCACTGTTGATGTGACATGGATCTTGACTGAAGGCAGAGAATACAGGAAACTTGTACTTTATGGCTGTGCAAAGGTATTTGACTGTGTGTATCATGCAAATTATAAACAATGTTGCAGAGAAAGGGAGTTTCATAACACTGTACTATGTGTTCATGTGTACACAGAACAAGAGGCAGTCGTTTAAACAGGACAAGGAGATACCGAACAATTTAAGACAGAAAAGTTGTATACCAGGGTTGTATCCTTTCACCTCCCTTATTCATATGCAATCTGTATGCTGAGCAAATAATACAAGAACTTGGAGCTCCGTGAAGAAGGATGTAGCCTCAGGATTGGAGGAAGGCCCATAATAACCTGCAATATGCAGATGACATCTCAGTATGAGGAAAACAAAAATCATCATGATAAACAGGGAAAAGACTTAAATGGTCAAATATTTCATTTTAGTTGGATCCACAATCAATGCTCAAGAAATCAAGTAACATATGATACTGGGCAAATCTGCTGCAAAAGACCTCTCTAAAGTATTAAAGAGCAAAGATGTCACTTCGAGGATTAAATTGCACCTGACCCGAGCCATGGCATTTTCACTCGCTCTCTATACTTGGGGAAGTTGGACAACGAATAAGGAAGACTGAAGAAGAATTGATGCATTTGAGTTGTGGTGTTGGGGAAGAATGAATGTACCATGGAGTGTCTGAGTGCCTGAAGAACAAACAAATCTGTTTTGGAAGACGTGTTGCCAGAACGCTCCTAAGAAGTGCGGATGGTGAGACTCCCAACTTTGGACAAATTATCAGGAGAGACCAGTTCCTGGAGAAGGACATCGTGTTGGGTGAAGGAGAGGGCCAGTGAAAATGATGAAGACGTTCAGTGAGACGGATGGACACAGTGGCTGCAATAATGAGTCCATACACAGTAATCACTGTGAGGATGCTGTAGAGTGGGCGAGTGG